CCTGTTAATCGAGATGAGGTTGAGGTGGATGATGTTCAAAATGAGTCATTGGACTCTTCTGCAAGGAATCATGATCAACATAATACAAATGTTGGGGCAACAAAGACAACCAAATTTCATGGAAATTATGCAGACTATGGCAAAGACTATGGCTGAACAACAAGAGTTAGTCAAGTCCTTGGCAGAGCAACAAGCAAGGGTAATTGCAGAGCAGAAGGAAAAGGTTTCAACACCACAGCTTATCCAAAAGGGAGGCTTAGCAGAGTTTGTTAAGCTTGCTAAGCCTTTCCATGGAGATTTGAAGGATCCACTAAAGGTAGAAAATTGGATCAAGGAAATGGAGAAGACTTTTCGAGGGCAAAGTGTCACTGAGGAGAATAAGGTGCCATATGCTGCATATTTGTTGAAAGGTGATGCAAATAATTGGTGGGAGGTAGAAGAAAGCAAGCACACTTCCCAAATTGACTAGAGTACCTTCACAGAAGCATTCCTTATGGAGTATCTACCTGAAAGTGACAGACATGAGATGCAGCAAAAATTTCATACCCTTGTCCAAGGTGACAAGTCTGTGAAGGAATATGAGAAGGAATTCAACCGGCTTTTAAAGTTTGCTCCTTTGGCTACTCAAAAGGATGAGGAATCTAGGAGGTTGAAATTTCTCTATGGGCTAAATCCACATATTCTGTCTGAGGTTCAGAAATTTGAAGTTTGTACATATTCTACAACAGTTAACAAAGCCAAAGTGATAGAGCAAGGTCAGAAAGTGGTTATGGCAGTAGAGGAGAGTAATGTTGGCACTAAGAAACAGAAATGGATGGGTGCCTTAAGCGGGAAAGATTCCACTAATCACAGTTTTGTATAGAGCAAAAGACAAAACACAAGATTTTTTGGGAATTGAATGCACCAGGGGGGAAATGTTCAGTGTTGGAGATGTCGGGGGCCCCATGAACCCAAGGATTGTAGATGGCTGTTAGGTTTGTGCTTTAAGTGTGGTCAAGCTGGGCATCGTGCAGCCAATTGTATTCATGCAAGGTACCCACCAAATTCATGTTTCAAATGTGGGCAGCAGGGACATAAGGCCATTAATTGTCCTCAAGGTAGACAAAACACCCAGGTTACTCAACGTGCTCCAGCTAATCAATCAGTTGCCAGTGAGAGAGCATCTACTGCAGGTTCAAGTAAAGGAGCAAGTGTTGAGAAGACGTGTTATACCCTATGTTAAGATTCAATGGAGTAATCATACAGAGCGGGAGGCAACATGGGAGTTGGAGGAAGATGCTAGGAAAAAATACCCGCAACTTTTTGATGAACAAGGTATGAGTTTAGGGACTAAACTCTTTTAAGAGGGGAAGAATGTAATACCCAGAATTTTTATTATTGCTATTATTATTTAATTCCTTAAGGATGTGTATGCAATAAGGTGGAAATATGAGGCCTTATGTGTATAATGGTGGTAAAGATGAAGGCGTGGCTTGTAAAATGTGCAAAACTTAACCTAGAAATTTAAGAATAGCGTGATTTTTCTGGAGAACCGGGGAAGGGGCTGTGGGTTTTCCTCACTCAAAAGAGCAGTAAGGTGACTGCACAAATTGGGGGAAAATAGTTGCTAAGTCCATTCAAGGTAAAATTTCCTTAGTTTTATAATGATTTCTTGGTTTTAATTTAGGAAGTATCTTGAAATTGTGGAATAGATTTTGGGAAAGGATGGTTCTGTCGAAGAGGGCTTTGGGTTTTATTTGTCTTGTTAAGTTAATGGAAATTGACTTGTCTAAAGTAGTCTTATGAGGTTGGCTTGCAAGTTTAGCATGGTATATTGAATTTTTATTGTGGTTGTCCATTTCTTCTTTGGCGGGGCAGACAAGTGGGAAGCTTTCATGGCTGATGTGTGAAATTTAATGAGTATTTTATTATATCAAAAATTGTAAAAGAGGGAAAGCTGCTTAGTGGGTGGCGAATTGTGTAGGGATTTTTGGAATTATGTTGATTCATAATTAGAGGCATACAGTGTGTGGAATTTGGCTGAAATGAACAATTGTTTGTAGGAAAAAGGGTCTAAATAATTCTTGGCTTTGCATTCACTGGTGCTAGGTCAATAACCGAGGTAAGTGGCATTACCTTTTTTAGAAATGCTGGAAAAATAAATTATTCTTTCACTTGTTATTGTGAAATTAATTTATTTGAAATCTAAGTATTTGTTTTACTATCTCCTTGTGGTATTTCTTCTGGAATGCATTTACTTATTTATGTGTATATTTATTTATCATTTTCTTTCTTTAAATAAATGGGGATTAAGCATGTTGGTTGTCAACTATTTGAGATGAGGGGATTTGATAGTTTTGTGATATAGAGACTTTGGAATTGAAAATTTATTTGAAATTAAGGTAGCTTGTTTTGCATAGAATCGTCGGGAATCATTTTAGATTATCGTGCCGTGATAGATTATCGAACGGTAAACCGTGTTAGACTATCGAACGGTAAACTGAGTTAGACCATCGAACAGTTCATTTTTTTTTTTTTGTCGTAATAGAGTATCGAACGACCAGTTGATATTCATGTGCCACAGCCATGTGGGATTGAGAAATTGTTTTACTGATGAGTTTCTTTATATTTGTTTCATCCAATATAATTTAATTACTTATTTTATCACTTTTTAATTAAGACAATTATGCTTGGTCGTACTAGTTGGGTATGCTACTTATTGGGTATGTGGAGCTCACATTGTTTTATTTAATGTTTTCAGAAACTAAACATGGAGCATCTGGGAGGCAGGGGAATTAGAGAGCCACCTTAGAAATAAACTATTTACTTCTTTCCCATTATGCTTAGCATTCGTGGACATTTGAAATAAAGAGATTTTAATGTAGTGCTAGTTATACTTCAGATTTTTGGTGTAGAATTGACTTTAGATGCTGGAGTATTATTATCATATATATATTTTTCTATTAATTTTCTTAAAAGTGAAGAATAAATTTTATGCAAAGCTGCAGGGATGAATTTTAGAGATTGATTTAGCCTTACATGCTTTTGGGGTCACTCCTAAAGGTATGTGGCATTGTCATGTCCTAACCCCTAAGTTGGGGGCGTGACAATTATGGTGTATAAAATTTATGTATAAATGGATTTTTACTCTCTCTCTTTCTCTCTCTCTCTCTCTCTCTCTCTCTCTCTCTATAGTTAGCGCATATTAGTCTCGACTTTCAGAAAAAATTAGAGTTCCAACTTCAAAAACATCACTCTTCGTTGTATATTTTCAAAAACCAATAATTGGATATAGTATTATATTAATATAGATCATATATGTTAATTTTCAAATTAATTAAATATATCTAACTAATTCATTGATAATACAAAATTTAACACAATCAAATATGTGTTAAAAATACAAGTTTCTTAATTGAATAATTATAATTGTTAGATTAATTTGAAAATTAACATGCATGATCTTAAGGCTAGGGTTTTTGCCGTAAGGCCACAGTTCCGCACCGAAACCACTCACAAAATCACCAACGAGTCAGGCCTTGATGGTTTCAGGTTGGAGCATACTAGCTTGCGAGCTGAAAACCGAAGCCCAACGGGCGATAGGCCGTTGTTGGGCTTTGAAACCACAAAACCGCATAGTAGTCTCATAAAACCGACACCCATTGAATATTTATTTTCAATTGTTTGCTGACTTGATTATGCTGCTCAATTTTTGTGAAACTTCATCACCTTCTGTAATTTCGCTCCACCTTTTGGGAAACTTTATCACCTCCTGCAATTTTGTTCCTCTTTCCAAGATTTTTGCCACAAAATATTCTAAATTACACCTTAATTGTTAAGTATAAATATTGAAGGCTCTCTCTCCATTCTGCAGGCCTTCTCTTTAGTTTCTAATCTCAAATTCAGTCATTCAAAAGTGCAATTCTTTTTCACCGTCACTCATTGGTAAGAGTAACGCAATTTGAGATTATTAGTTTTCTTTTTATTTTTCAAATGATAATGATAATTTCTTTTGTAATTAAAATTTCTCTATAGTTTTCCTCTAATTTTTTTTTCTACAACAAACCCTAACCTTTCTTCAAATTTCTAAATGGATTTTCTTCTAATTTTCTCTCTAATAACAAACCCTAACCTTTATTGTGTAATAGAAATTTGTCTGGGCCTTCTTTTTTTTTTTTTTTAATAACAAACCAAAACTTGATACTCTGTCATTCAAATTTCTATATGGGTTCTCATATATATATATGTATATTATTTTGACAAACTCTAACCCATAGCATTGTGTTTTTATTTTAAGGAGAATTTATCACATTATGGAAAAGGATCAAGCAACAAGGAATCTTAATGTTAGTAATTTTGGTTCAATTTTTTTTTTTATTCTAGACTAGATCCTTAATATTAGATTTGTAAACTCAATTTGCAAGAACTTGTCAAATGATAATCTATTTAATATTTTTTGTCTTGAACTTGGATTTATATGTAGGATGATCTTCACATGGAGGATGCTGATGTTATTCCCACAAACAATTAAGATAGCCCAATGGCAAAAGCCAAGGGAGAAAGGAGGAATTGGGATTTTAAAGCATGCCAAACTTCTATGGTATGGCAACACTTTACTAAGTTCTTTGAAAAAGGCAAAACGTAGGGAAAATGTAACTATTGTGGAAAGATTTACCGTGTTGACTCTAGGCTTAATGGCACCTCTTCAATGAGAAATCATATACCTACACGTAAAAAGAACCCTGACATGTTAAAGAGTAAAAAATTGCTTGGTTTGAAACGGTATTATGTTATTGGAGACGGTGAGGATGGATGGCATGTCGCTCAATTGACCTTTTGGAAGTTTGAAGAAAAGGCTATTAAGAGGGTTCTGGCTAAAATGATTATAAATGATGAGAATCCATTTAGCATTGTTGAAAAATTAGGATTCAAAAGATTTTGTGAAGTTGCTTTGCCCCCTAGTTTCAAGCTTCCCTCTAGAAGGTGTATAACCAAACTTTGTTATGAAATCTATCTTGATGAGAGAGTAATCCTCAAAAACTATTTTAAGCAATCAAAACAAAGTGTCACGCCCCAAACCAGGACTGAAACAGACACCGTGCACTCGTGAATGGGTCCCATAAATGCACAAGGCTCGGAACTTACTGTGTTCATAATTACCAATTTACATAACTTATATCAAAACTTGGTTAATATCTAGCTTTCCATTACCAAAATTTTAGTAGTTAAGATGTATAACAGTTTATAAGACAGTCATGGCTATAACCAAGGGAAACTCAGTATACAAAAAAATGATTTATCATTTCACATCTATGTCAAGCATGTGTGGCTAACAGCCTTAGTCCAAAAGGATCTAAGTCCAAAATACTGACTAGCCTTCTAGCTCATTACTTCCCCTGGTTAACCGTGCCTCGGGTTTCACTTCTTGAAATGGTGGACAAAAAAAACTATAAGATATCTTAGTAACTAAAAATATGGGTAGCCCATGAGTAAAATTTAAGCATGCCTGATAAACAATTTAACATAACAAAACGTTTAATGATAAACCATTAATGCAGAATAAGATTCAGTAGTAGTCTCATCTATAAGTCAATAACAAAGCATTCAATGATAAACCGTTAATGCAGAATAAGATTCAGTAGTAGTCTCATCTATAAGTCATGGCCAGTGTTTAACAACTCCCACTGGCAGGCATCAATTTCAGTAATAACCAATGTATTATCCCATTGGCAGGATTACAGAATGAACCAGTTCTATTGGTATACATGTCGACATGTGCTAGCATTTACAAACTCCCACTAGCGGGCATCAATAATCGTGACTATATTAGAGACAAAACCATGTAGGATTTGCACGAAAAATCCGTAACTCACAATCAATCTCAAATTTCAAGAATAAACCAAAAAAATTCCATGTGGGCATGCTCAACCCCAAAATAATAAAAATTTCCATTTCCATTCTAAACATGCTCAGGTGTTAATAAAATTAATTTAAACCTTGCCACCATTTCAAAAACAATTTAAAATATGCTTTTACTTGAAACCGAAGGGCATTACCATAATTTACTTACCTAAATCGCATAACACAGAAAACTCACTCCAAGTGCTAGAGTGACAGAATAATCAAGAACCTAACCAAAATATTCCAAAATTAATAACCATATGACCAAAAATCTCAATTTTATTCTCAATATAAACTAAACATTTAAACCCTCCTATTGTTGCCGGCCATTAATCCCATAAAGAAATCTTATTTCTTTATTTATTTATTTATCCTTATTTTTTTTCTATCCGAAATTTAAGCACAAAAATCAGATTGTGCATTTATATATATATACATAAACACACATATACCAAATTCTCCAAATTCATAGACAACATGGAGGAATCGGCTTTGGCAAAACAATAGCTAATTTCACAGGTTTTTTTTCTAGAACCTCACAGCAGCCAATTAATACTCAATCACATAGATTCTACTTGAATTAATGCTTAAATTTGTTTTAATTGCTACCGGAATTCATCCCCCTAATTCAACAGAAATCCGGACAGCACAGGGGCGACAAATAAATGGATAAATTTAGCAACGAATGGGTAATTTTGGACTTAGATGGAGCTGTCACATACCAAAAAATTCAGCAAGCAAAACCGGAGTTGGCGGGTTGGGGAAGCCAATGAGAATGGAAGGAGAATTTAAGGGATCTACTAGAAATTAGGAGAAAACAAAAGAAATTAGAGTAAACCCAAGCCAAATCAAGGGAAAAAAGAGGAATTAGTGGCTATTTCCTTACCAGAAACCGGAAAATTTCACACCTACAGCCAAGAGCAGTGGACGGAGGGGAAGGAACAAAGCAGATCTGAAATTTTTTGCAGAAGGAAGGTTTCTAAATTCTAAATCTTATTTTTGAACAAGAAAAGAAAGGAAAAATCAAGTTTTTTGTCGTTTCTCAAGGGGTGGATGTTGTCGGTGGCCTGGGTTCTTGTTTGGCTACAGGGGAGAAGAAGAAGAGCAGAAACGTGCTGTTGAGAAAGAAAGAAAGAAGGAAAAAAAATTAGCCATCCTTATCCTAATTCTTTTCTCTTTTAATTCCCTCAAATTTGAAAATTTTGATGATTAAGCTCAACAATATTATTTTCTCACAATTAGGTCCCTAGCTCACACTTAATTGTTCTAGAAATTTTTGGGGTATTACACAAAGAGTTTACTTAACCACTCATACTTGGAGCTCATCAACCCAATTATCTTATATAAGTTTAACTGCCCATTTCATTGATGACAATTGGAGGTTGCATAAGAAAATACTTAATTTCTACCCTATTGATGCTTATGAGGGAGAAGAGTTAGGTGACTTAGTTGAAACTTGTTTGAGGGATTGGGCACTTGAGAAAGTGTATACAATAACTGTTGATATGCATCTTCTAATGGAGTAGTTGTGAGGGTGCTTAAAAATGCTTTAAACAAGTGGGGTACAAGTATTCTAGGTGGGGTTCAACAACACATGAGGTGCAGCACATATCATTAACTTGGTTGTACAAGATGGAGCCAAATTGATGAATAATTCCATTGCGTCTATGAGAGTTGCTTGCAAATACATTAGGCAGAGTTCCCAAAGAAAAATGAGGTTTAAGGAGGTTGTTGAGGTTGTTGAGGTTGAATAAATTGACTCCAAGAAGCTATTGTCCTTGGATGTGCAACATAGGTGGAATTCTTTATACCTAATGCTTGATACTACAGAGAAGTTTGAAATGGCATTTGAAAGGTTAGTTTTATCCATTTGAGAAGTTTACTTGGCTTATTTTCATGTACTATCATCATTTTATTAATTTAATTATATTCTTTTTATATTATGTTATTATTATAAATTATAATGATTCTAATAATTTAGTTTTTGTCTTATATTTTCATATATTGCCGTCATTCTAATAGTTTTTTGTTGTACAATTTGAAGGTATTCAAGGTATGATCCAGCCATGAGGATTGAATTGAATTCAAGTCCAGGTTTCCCATCTTGTATCGATTGGGAAAACATAAGGAGGCTTGTGATGTTTTTGGAACCATTTTATTTCTTGATAGAGAAAGTTTATGGAAGTCTATATACCACTTCAAACTTGTATTTTCCAGAAATTTGTGAAGTGGATAGGCTTCTTAAACTGTGGGAAAAAGATGCTGATTTGAGTCAAATGGTTATGAAAATGAGGGTTAAGTATGACAAGCATTGGGGTGATCCTTTGAAGATGAATAAGAACATCTTCATTACTGTAGTTTTGGACCCAAGGCACAAGCTTGGCTTTATGCAATTTTTGATGGTAAGGATGTTTAGTGAGGTTAAGGGCTGAGTTTATGGGGAGATGGTGAGAGCTGAGTGCTTCAAGTTGTTTGAAGCATACAAGATCCAACACTATGCTAGCAATGCATTGGAAAGGTCAACGTATTAGTTTTAGTTTAAAGGGATGATTCTTTTATTGTCACGCCCCAAAACCCAATTTCGAGACGCGACAGACGCCGTACACTCGTGAGACGGGTCCCACAAATGCACAAGGCTCGGAACTTATCAAATTCACACTCTGATACCATCAAAATCTGAAGATCAAATTATAAAATTCACTCTAATATCATAAGATCTCCAAATACAAGATCATGATTTATTTCTAAAATTTATATCAATCTCGAAATGGCTAGCTTTCTAACTCGTCACTTCCCGTGGTTTCCCCATCCTCGATTTCACATCCTGAAATGGTGGACAAGGAAAAACTATGAGATAAAATCAGTAAGTAAATATGGAGTGCCCCTTATCAAACTTAAAGCATGCCAACAAGTACAAGCACGAAAACAGATACAGTACGGGCACGAAATAGACGTCTCCTCTATAGGTCACGGCCAGTGTTATAAACCTCCCACTGACAGGCACACGATTTACTAGTGTATAATCCCACTAGCAAGATAACAGAAACAAACTAGTTCTATCAGTAACATGTCGACATGTGCTAGCGTTTATAAACCTCCCACTAGCGGGCACACGAATAACATGACCATATCGGAGACAAAACAGGCAGAAGTTAACAGGAAAATCACAATTCACAATCACTTTCAGATCATCAGGACAGTCACTTAAATTTCAAGTAGGCATGCTCAATTTCATGAAAAGCACAAAACATTTCACTTCAAATCAGTCATACTTGTGTAAAACGGGTTTAGTCCCGCCACTACTTCAAAAACAAATCAAAACATGCTTTAAAAACAGTACGGGCATTACCATAAATTACTTACCTCACTCGCATAAAACCGAGCACTCAATCTCAATGCTAACTAACAGAACGATCAAGAACCTAATCAAAAATCTGAGAATCAATACCATACTATCACAAATTCAAGGTAAACTCATCATTAGGATCATTCCTAATCACAATGCTATTTCCATAAATCTCCATATGATCAGATATCTCCAAATTCGTTCTTATATCACAAACTAATCAATTAAATCCCCGTTAATTGTTGGCCCTCGGGGTGTGAACAGTGTCGGTGAACAGTATCCATAAACAGTACCCCGACGTGAACAGTAACTCCACATCCACAAATTGGCCAAAACACTAGCTAATCTCATGGGATTTTCTCCAAAAATCACACAGCAATCAATTAACACTCAATCACATAAATCTCACTTCAATTAATACTTAAATCTCATCCTAAAGCTACCGGAATTATCCCCCATTTTTAGCCAAATTCGAACATCACAAAGCAGCAACTTTAAATGGATAATTTAAGCCTTAAATGGCTATCACATACCAGAAATTAGCAAGCAAAACCGAGCTTGGTTGGGGGAGAAGCCGGCGGCAAGTGCAGGGGAGAAACTCACGGATCTACCCAAAATTGAAGGAACAAGAGCAATTAAAGTAAACCCAAGTTAATTCAAGCAAGAACAGAGGGATTGGTAGCTGTTTCTTACCCAAAACCGGAGCAAATCACCCCCACAAAGCAAGAGCAGCCGGCGGAAGGACAGAGCAAAGCAAGGCAGATCCGGATTTTCCAACAAGGGGGGAGAATTTCTGGGTTCCAAATCAGGTTCTCGGACAACAAAAGAAGGGAAAAATCAAGCTTTCTCACCGGTTTTCCAAGGCATGGCTGGGTTCCCTTTCTTTTTTTCCTCTCGGGCTGCAGCGAGAAGAAGAGCGGAATCGGGTCTGAGGAGGAAGAAAAGAAAGAAAGAAAAAGAAAAAGAAGGAAGCTGATCCTTATCCTAAAATCTTCCCCTCTTTAAGTCCCTCAAGTTTGGACATTTTGGCTATTAAGCCCAAAACAATATCTTTCCACAATTTAGTCCTTAACTGAATGCTAAAATATCACAAAATTTCGGGGTATTACATCCACCTCTCCTAAAAAGGAGTTTTGTCCCCAAAACTCGAATTGGGGATCATTTCGAGTGGTGAATCGCTTCACACAATCCAAGACAAAACAAATGTCCCACTCACTTTCTATGAACAAAATGGCCTACTACGCTTCCGCTGCGCCACTCTGATATCAAATCACAACAAATCATAAAAGCAGAACACTAACTACTTAACAGGGTTTACCACGAAATGAGCTATTAGAGGCTGGGGTGATATGGGAAGCACAACGAATAAAAATAAATCCTGCCAAAGCCACAAAAGAACCATTGTGGGGTTACGCTACGAACCCATCACAAGATAAGTTGGTAAAGAATGGCATGGATTTAAAGACAATTACAACAAAATTTGAACTCTATCAAAGACGGAAAAGCATCCAATGAATATATGGATCATGAATGAATGAACAAATGCATGGATGCCTTATAAATTCTGCCACAACATGGTTAGCCAATAAGCAAGGTCATGTTTAACAAAACAACTGGAATCAAGAGACAAATTTTAGCAATTAACAAGAGTTAAAAGCTGGACCCATCAAAAGACATGTAAGAATCTCAAGAACTGCAACAGAATAAAATCAATGGAAAATATGAATGCTTGGAAGAATACTGGAACACAAGAGTGCAAGGTAGAATGCCTAACAAATTCAACAACAAAACGGAACAACAAAACGGCATTCACCAAGAATTAAGATCAAATTTAACCAAGCAATCAAAATTGAGAGACAAGAGTTAACCATGAAACAATCAATAGAATTCAAGGATTAGACCCACAAAAGAGATTTCAATAATGACAATGAGAACAAGAATTCAAGAGCAGATATAATCAGGATGTCAAGATTTAACACCCCAAGTAACACGAATTAATTTACAGAACAAAGCAATGGCTGGAGTCAAGAACAATTTCAGTTGAAACAAAACTCTAGGGCATCAAGCACTTCAAAAACTACCCCTTCACCTCGTAGCCCATGGAGGCTAAGCAGATTTATAATCAAGTCATCCTAGACATCCTAGAGTCACGTCAAAGTCAAGACATCAAGGATACAGAGCTTAACACTTGCAAGAAGAGACAAGAACGAGGATACCTCATATAGGTAGCTCCTAATAACCATCACCCCTCCTAAAGAGGTGTCCATATGAACAAAATCAAAATCAAAATCAAGAAGACCAACAGGTATACCAAAACAAGAACTAGCAGAATATGCAAGATTTGAGCAAGAGCAGTATACAGAATTTGAACAAGAGCAGGGTCAAGATAAGAATGGTTTCCAAGGACAATTCAAAATAGATTCCAAAAACCAAATATCAATTGATTTTCAAGAATAGATTCCAAGAACAATATCAGTCAATTTTCAAGAGTAGAATTCCAACAAGAATTAATTTCAAACAAGTTTTATGAACCGATTCCAAGCACAATGCCAGAAACAGTTTCAAGAATCAGTTTCAGACAAGTATCAAGATAATGAGGATTTCAATAATCATTATCCATTTCCTTTGGATTTCAATTTCAAGAACAAGTACAAAGCAATATCAAGAAAGATTCAAGATCGATTTCAGGAGTTGCAAGCAGTTTCCAGGTGTCAAGAATGTAGAGATTGGCAACAATAGAGAGTTTAACTTTATGATAGCTTGCCAATCTTCATAAAAACATGGCAATTTCAATTGAATTGATCACTGCTCTTGATTAACCAACATAGAAGAATAAGCCACATGAAAAGACCATGAAGCTCCAAATGGAAAAAATGAAACTTCACTATAAGACTTTCAAAAGATAAGGAGCAACGAAATTACCAAGTAATCCAGCTCCTAAAACGCAGCTAGAAAACACATAACAATTGCTAAAATAGCCTTGAATCTCTTACAAAGTAGAGCATTGCCCATCTTCCACTGGTCATGTGACAAACAGAAGAAATTTCTCAACCAGCTATGTGGTAAAGACCAACAGGATCAATAACAAAAGATCTCTTTAACTCCCCAGATTTTACAATTGTGGCAAAAGAGCACACAAAAATTCTATTCACGTAACAAGCCTAAACAAGTGCGGACTATCAGAAAATGACCAAGTTTCAAAACAAGGTCTTCAGGACATAACGGGCAAGATTACTTTCACAACTTCACATAGAGTATGAAGGCAAGAAACAAGAACAATCAGATCACCATCTCATCGAAATGGATGAGAAAATTCAGGCAACATGAATCAGAATCGTCCCTTATATAACCCTATCACTTATCTCACCACGATTCTATAATCCACTGGCTAGCCAAGTCCAAAACAAATCCTAGGTATTCAATTAAACCTAGGCTCGGATATCACTCAATCTGCTCTAATGCCACTCAATCTGGAGGTGCTTAATTTAATCCAAAACTCTTAATTTAAACCAAGCTCTGATACCACTAAATCTGTCACGCCCCAGAACCCAAATCCGAGGCGCGACAGACGCCGTACTCGTGAGATGGGTCCCACAAGTGCACAAAGCTCGGAACTTATCATATCACACTCTGATACCACCAAAATCTGAAGATCAAATTATAAAATTTTCTCTGATATCATAAAATCTCCAATACACTCTAGTTTACAAGATCATGATTTATTTCTAAAAATCTATATCAATCTCGAAATGGCTAGCTTTCTAACTCGTCACTTCCCGTGGTTTCCCCGTCCTCGGTTTCACTTCCTGAAATGGTGGACAAGGAAAACTATGAGATAAACTCAGTAAGCAAATATGGAGTGCCCTTAATTAAACGTATAGCATGCCAACAAGTGTAATCAGAAAACGGATACAAGTACGGGAACGAAATAGACGTCTCCTCTATAGGTCACGGCCAGTGTTATAAACCTCCCACTGGCGGGCAACAGAAATTGCTAGTGTTTAATCCCACTAGCAGGATAACAGAAACGAACCAGTTCTATCAGTAACATGTCGACATGTGCTAGCGTTTATAACTCCCACTAGCGGGCAACAGAATAACATGACCATATCGGAGACAAAACAGGCTGAATTTAACAGGAAAATCACAATTCACAATCACTTTCAGATCATCAGGACGGTCACTTAAATTTCAAGTAGGCATGCTCAATTTAATGAAAAGCATAAAACATTTCACTTCAAATCAGTCATGCTCATGTAAAACGGGTTTAGTCCTGCCACCACTTCAAAAACAAATCAAAACATGCTTTTAAAAACAGTACAGGAATTACCATAAATTTACTTACCTCACTCGCATAAAACCAAGCACTCAATCTCAATGCTAATTGATAGAACGATCGGGAACCTAATCAAAACAACTCAGAATTAATATCGGACTATCACACATTCAAACTGAAATCATCATTAGGATCACTCCTAATCACAATGCTATTTCCATAAATCTCCACATTATCAGATATCTCCAAAATCGTTCTTATATCACAAACTAATCATTTAAATCCCCGTTAATTGTTGGCGCTCGCTGTGTGAACAATAACCAGTGAACAGTACCCATGAACAGTACCCCGACGTGAACAGTAACTTCAACTTCCAAATTTGCAAAACCATAGCTAATCTCACAGGATTTTTCTCCAAAATCACAGCAGTCAATTAACACTCAATCACACAAATTCCACTTGAATCAATGCTTAAACTTTATCCTAAAGCTACCGGAATTATCCCCCATTTTTAGCCAAATTCGGACATCACAAAGCAGCAACTTTAAATGGATATTTTAAGCCTTAAATGGCTGTCATATACCATAATTCTCCAGCTGTAGAAACCGGAGCTGTAGGGGGAGAGAAGCCGACGGCAAGTGCAGGGGAAGCTCACGGGAACTACCCAAAATTGGAGGAACAAGAGCAATCAAAGTTAACCCAAGCCAATTCAAGCAAGAACAAAGGAAATTAGGGGCTGTTCTTACCGAAAATTCAAAGCAATTCGCCCCCATAAAGCAGGAGCAGTCGGCGGACAAGAGAGGAAGGACAGAGCAGATCCGGATTCTCCAGCAGGGGGAAAGATTTCTGGGTTCCAAATCGGGTTCTTGGACAAGAAAAGAAGGGAAAAATCAAGCTTTCTCATCGGTTTTCCAAGGCATGGCTGGGTTCCCTTTCTTTTTTTTTCTCTCGGGCTGCAGCGGGAAGAAGAGCAGAATCGGGTCTGAGGAGGAAGAAAAGAAAGAAAGAAAAAGAAAAAGAAGGAAGCTAATCCTTATCCTAAAATCTTCCCCTCTTTAAGTCCCTCAAGTTTAGACATTTTGGCTATTAAGCCCAAAACAATATCTTTCCACAATTTAGTCCTTAACTGAATGCTAAAATATCATAAAATTTCGGGGTATTACATTTATATTGCTCTTTATAATTTATAATTAAAGTTTAGAATATTATAAATTTTAATTAGTTAAGTCTTAACTAATAGTTCTTTTTTTTTTTTCATATAGAGGCCAATCTTCTACCCAACAATCAATTCAGAATGTAGGTAACCCCGCAATGAAGGAGCTTGAACCAACTAAAAACAGGAGGACATATCTAATGAATGAATATTCAAAGAAGGAATTGAATACAGTGTTGAGAAGTCAGAGTTGGAGAAGTACTTGAGTGATGAAACAAAACCATTTGATAAGGAGTTTGACGCTCTTAAGTGGTGCAAAGTCCATGGTCCAAGGTTTCCCATCCTAGCTTCAATGGCTAGGGATGTGTTGGCTGTCCCAATCTCTACTGTGGCTTCTAAAGCTACATTTAGCACTGGAGGTTGAGTTCTTGATCCATTTAGGAGCTCTTTAACTATAAGGATGACTTAGGAACTAGTTTGTGCCCAAGATTGGCTGAGGTCTAGAGCAAAACAAGCTTTTGATTTGGAGAATGAGAATACTTTGAGGGACATGGAGAAAGGTATAATTGAATCTTTATGATTTCCTTGTTTTTCATTATCTATATTATTGTTCAACACTTAAGTTAATTACGTTGATTGCAACTTCTTCTTCTTTTTTTTTTTTTTCCTTTTTGATTGGACAGAGATGGAGAAGTTGCAGTTGGATGCACCATGCATCCAATTTTAAGTAAAGGTGTTTAGTATTAATTAGCTAAAGTAATTTCTAATGATTTCTTTACAAAGTTGGTACTTAAATATTTTCTTTTTAATTTACTAACTTCTGTTTGTTTTTGCTAATTGACATGTGAAAGGGTCTTGCCAAGTAAGTAGTATTAGGAACCATGAATGATTGATATAGTTCTTTTTCATACAATTTACAAGATCTATTCATTGTTGCATTTTTTTGGACAACTTGCTTAAGGATGCGTTCAGTTATTTGCCTTTTTGGGACGATGGCGGCTGGCTACATTCTATTCTATACAGTTTCTTACTTTCTAGTCTAAAAGACTAATGGTGATCTAAGTAGTTATGCAATCTTACTTGGCAAGTTTAGTTTGATTAGTTGATGACTATCTTATGGTTTAGGATTTCTTAATGTTTTGAATAAATTATAAATGCTTTTAGTTTGATTACTCATTGTCTAGTTCCTGTTGCTTTGTTGTTTTGCTTTTAGTGAAGGTGTTCCTTATATGCTTTAACTGTAAAAACTTTATAATTTTCCAAATTTTTTATATGCAACTATTTGGGAATGTTTAAAAATTTTATTGTTTTTTTATAAAAGAATTGTTGTTTTACGTTGTATTAATTTTGTTTTGGCCATTTGAAATTGGAAAAATGCATAATGAAACTCTAATTGGAAAGAAGGATTTAAAATTGAAATAAAGTTATAGATATGTGGGTTAACATCAATCCAAACCGGTGAAATTGGGAAAAAAAATTGATTAAACCGATAAAAACCATTTTATTTTGGTATGGTTCACGATTTATTAAAATAAGTAATTAAAAAATCGGTTAATTGTTGAAAATAGTCAATGTGGTCACCAAACTGACTGACGCCCACTGCTACATAATCTACATCAGTAGAACGTTAAAATCAATGGCTGATTTTTAAAATATTCATTAAAAGATGATGTTTATAAAATTGAAATTAAAAAAATGCAGAATGAAACTCTAATAGGAAAGAAGGATTGAAAATTGAAATAAAGCTATAAATATGAGGGTTAACACTAATCCGAACCGATAAAATTGGGAAAAAAAAATATGATTAAACCGATAAAAACCATTCTATTTTGGTATGGTTCACGGTTTATGTCACGCCCTAGAACCCAAATCCAGGGACGTGGCAGACGCCGTACACTTGTGAAAGGGTCCCACAAATGCACAAGACTCAACACTTATCATACCATACTCTAATACCACAAAATCTGAAGATAAAAATTTAAAATTTGCTCTGATATCATAAAATCTCCAAGTAAAGTCTATCTTACAAGATCATGATTTATATCTAAAATCTATGTTCAATTTACAAGATGGCTAGCCTTCTAACTCGTCACTCTCCTCGTTTTTACCCATCCTTGACTTTGCTTCTTGAAATGGTGGACAAGGAAAAACTATGAGATAACTCAGTAAGTAAATATGGATAGCCCTTAATTAAATTTATAGCATGCCAACCAATGTAATCACGAAAAACAAGTACAAGTACAAAAACGAAATAGATGTCCCCTCTATAAGTCATGGCCAGTGTTATAAACCTCCCACTGGCAGGCACACGATTTACTAATGTATAATCCCACTAGCAGGATAACAGAAACGAACCGGTTCTATCAGTAACATGTTGACATGAGCTAGCATCTATAAACCTCCCACTAGCGGGCACACGAATAACATGACCATATCGGAGACAAAATCGACAGAATTTAACAGAAAATCATACTTTACAGATAATTTCCGAATCATCAGGGCAGTAAATAAACTCCAAGTAGGCATGCTCAAATCAATAAAAAGAATAATAATCTTATTTTAAATCAATCATGCTCATTTTTGTATAAAATGGGTTTAGTCTCGCCACCACTTTAAAAATAAATTAAAATATGCTTTTAAAATCAAAGGGCGTTACCATAATTTACTTACCTCAATCGCATAAACCGAGGACTCAATCCTAGTGCTCTAAGCCATAATAGCACCTAATATTCCAAATAAATACATTTAGACTTTGCTAGAATTATTAGCACAACCTTGCAAATTTACTAACCAATGAGCTTCACACAAAATTCAACCATATGACCAAACATCTCAATTTTATTCTCAATATAACTACACATTTAAACCCTCTTATTGTTGGCCATTAGTGGGTGAACAGTAATCACGCAATGAACAGTAACTGTATCTTCCAAAAATTGGCAAAACCATAGCTAATTTCACGGGATTTTTCTCCAAAAATCACAACAGCCAAAATAAGCAAATTTTCTACATGAATTAAACTTAAAACATGTTCAAAGGCTGCCGAAATTTATCCCTATTTCAACAGAATTTTCGGACAACACAGGGCAGCAAATAAATGGACAAAATTCAGCAACTAATTGATGAAATTTCGGGCTTGGAGGAGCTATCAACATACGAGAATTTTCCCAACAAAACCGAAGCTGCAAGCTAGGGGAAGGCCGGCGGGAATGAAGGAGAAAAATCAGGAAATCTACCCAAAATTGGAAGAACCAAGAGGATTTAGAGTAAACCCAAACCAATTCAAGAAAGAAAAGAGGAATTTAATGGCTGTTTCTTACCAGAAAAAGCCCAAAAATTCACACCCACATAGTAGAAACCGACGAACAAGGAGGAAGAAGCAGAGCAGATCCGGGATTTTTCTGCAGAGGGGAAAGATTTCTCGGTTCTATATGTGTTCTAGAACAAGAAAAGAAGGGAAAAATACCAAGCTTTTACCGATTTCCTCAAGAAAATTGTTGTCGGCAGCTCGGTTCCTTTTTTTTTTTTGTTTCGGGTTGCAGCGGGAAGAAAAGAAGAGCAGAAACGCGAAATGGCTGGGGAAGAAAGAAGGAAAAATAGCTGATCCTTATCCAAATCTTTTTCTCTTTTGAGTCCCTTAAGTTAGAAATTTCAGCTATTAAGCCCTAAAACAATATTTTCTCACACAAAAGTCCTTAACTTAAATGCTAGAATTCCCGAAAATTTGGGATATTACAGTTTATTAAAATAAATAATTAAAAAATCAGTTAATTGTTGAAAATAGTCGGTGTGGTCACCAAATTGACTGACGCCCACCCTTACATGATCTACATTGATAGAACATTAAAATCAATGGCTGATTTTTAAAATATTCATTGGAAGATGATGTTTATAAAATTGAAATTAAAAAAAAGGCAGAATGAAACTCTAATAGGAAAGAAGGATTTAAAATTGAAATAAAGCTATAAATATGTGGGTTAACACTGATCTGAACCGGTAAAATTGGGAAAAAAATGATTAAATCGATAAAAACCATTCTATTTTGGTATGGTTCATTGTTTATTAGAATAAATATTTAAAAAATCAGTTAATTGTTGAAAATAGTCGGTGTGGTCACCAAATTGACTGACGCCCACCCCTACATGATCTACATCAATAGAACATTAAAATCAATGGTTGATTTTTAAAATATTCATTGGAAGATGATGTTTATAAAATTGAAATGTTACTTCTTTTTGTTTTTAATAAGAGTTGGGGTGTCATGCACTTTCTTTTATATATTTATAAATTCGATAAGGTATGATGTTCATAAATCTTTTTTTAGTATATTAATAAGTTATATACAAAAGATATCATTCTTTATTTTTTTCCGATGATTCTATCAAACTCAAGTTTCAAACTTGATAGCTTCAATTTAAAAAATTTTAAGTTTTTTAACTTAATAATATATAATATATGTTGAAAACATAAAAGATCATATGGTTCTATATCTTACTCCCATGCTTACCATCTTCGCCATACTTCTTAGAATATCCAACTTGAAATTTCATATTTATGTATTGTAATTGTAACAAACCAGTGAGTCTCCTTCAATCCAATCCTTCTCATCGATTTAACCTGCAAAGCCCCAAGGTTGGTCCTTAGGATAAACACTCCGATACCTAAGTCAGCAACAATCTGGTTTACCTTAAGAAACACTGTAAAAAAAAGCTTTAGATCGATTTCAATTACTTTTTCGAGGTAACCCCTAAGGATAATTATAAGCCTTAATAAGATATCCACGTGACTTGTTTAACAGAATAATCGGGATTTGACATGTCTAGTGAGGCGACAATCTCGAGAACAAGGGATTGGGTGAGAGCACACTCACTGTAATTATCATACAACTGGCAAGAGCTGAATTTAGAATTTACCTCAGCCATCGTGTAACCGAGATCAAAGAATTGGAGAAAGGATTGAACTTATTAAATACACAATACGTCCAAGATTAGTAATCTCGAACTTACTCTTGACTTGTCCTTATGTGTATAAACATTAAAATATAGATCCTTTACCTTACCTAGACAAGATAACTGTAATATCCCAAAATTTTGGGAATTTTATCAATTAAATTAGGGGACTTATTTTGGGAGAAATATTGTTTTGGGGCTTAATAGCTAAAAACTCCAAAGTTGAGGGACTTAAAAGAAAGGAAATGAGATAAGGATCAGCTGCTTTTTCTTTTTCTTTCTTTTCTTTCTTTCTTTTCTTCCTCATCAGGCCCGTGACCTGCTCTTCTTCTTTTTCTCCCCAACAAGCCCTCCCCAAGCTGTCGACAGTCCTCTCTTGAGGAATTGGCAAAATCTTGCTATTTTTCTCTTCCTTTCTTGTTCAATCACAAGATTTAGGGCCTAGAACTCCCTCTAAAGCCAAGGAATTTTCAGACCTGCAGTTTCTCTTCCTCCCCTGTCCGCCGGCTGCAATGTGGGTGTGTGATTTTTGGGCTTTTTCTGGTAAGCCATAGCCATGAACTTCATCTTTTCAGCTTGATTTAGCTTGGGTTCATTTTAAATCTGTTGTTTCTTCAAATTTGGTAGCCCCATGAGCTTCCCCTCCAACTCCCACCAGCTGCCAAGCTTGCCAGACCCGGTTTGTTAGCCGAAAATTTGGGTAGGTAGCAGCTCTCCCAATCTGGATTTTTAATCCATTAAGTGCTGCCCTGTGTTGTCCGAAAAACCTGCTGGAAGTGGGGGATGAATTCCAGCAACCTTGAAATGAGTTTTAAGTTAAATCATGTAGAATTTTCTGTGATTGGACTACTGTGATGTTCTGTATGCATAGCCGGGTCTTAGTGCTGTTTTGCCAAGCCCCATTCCTCCATTTTTTCCGTTAGAAATTTTCTGTTGAAATGGAGGAGTTTCGGCAACCTTAAAACATGGGTTTTTAAGCTTGCTTAATGTAGAAAACTAGCTTATTTTGGGTGCTGTGATTTTTGGAGAAAACCTCGTGAATTAGCTATTGTTTTGCCAAATTTTTGGAAGTTGCAGTAACTGTTCACTGCGCGATTATTGTTCACGGCTACTGTTCACAATACTGTTCACAGATTATTGTTCACACACTAATGGCCAATAATAGGAAGGTTTAAACGTTTAATTTATAATAAGAATGAAATTGGAGATGTCCGGTCATGTGGAGACCGATAGAAATAGCATCTTGATTAGAGGGTGATCCTAATGAAGTTTTCACTTTGAATTTGTGGTAGTACGGTATTAATTATGGGGTAATTTGATTAGGTTCTTGAGTGTTCTGTCACCCGAGCACTTGGCTTGAGTTTTCGGTATTACGGATTTGAGGTAAGTAAATTATGGTAATGCCGTTTGATTTTAAAGCATGTTTTAAATTGTTTTTGAGATGGTGGCAAGGTTTAAATTGATTTTAAATTGATTTTATTTGCACCGAGCATGATTGGTTTGAAATGAAATTGTTTTCATTTGCATTGAGTA